GGGGGGGGGGTGCGGGCGAAGTACAAAAAAGGTACAAGAACGAGAAGTCCGAAGACTACAGTAAAAAAAGTACTCGCGCAAGCGAAAATTAAATGAAAAAAATTCATGCACGCCAACAATGGGCTCCTGAAAAAACAGGAGCCCATCACCTGACGCCAATTAATCCTAAAAAATATTCATGCTATGGCCCAAAAAAAATTCATACAAGGAATCTGATAGCGAAAAATAATTCCTGCGGCTCGAAAATTCCCCTCCCCTCCCCATAACTTTTCTAATGGTCCGTCCGTTAGCCTTGCCTGTCGGACGGAGCCTCCCCGTATAGCCATCAAAGGGTATCCCCGGGGAGTCTGCTAGACGATTTATCGGTAAATCAAGCACTCAGACATGAAGAATTAAGTAATAACTGATAATTTATTTCCCAGCCGCTGGACAGATACAAAATTTTAAAACGCTAACTTATAACGGATTTTCTATCATTTCATATCACCAGAAACTCTAAAGGGGTTTGCTAAACTGCTTTCTTGCTTCTATCGCTTGTTTGTCGCTACAGCTGAAAATCTTTTGATATATATTTTTTAAGTTATATCCTGTGCCTGATAGTTTTTAAATAATTAATAACAAATTCAATATAATGTACTGATACTTTCAAAACAGCAAATTGGTTTACTCGGCACAAATTGAAATGTATTGCCCTAGTTCCGATCGAAGTAGTGACCTGAAGACTTTTAATATTCTGTGACGTACATATAAACTATTCTATAATGAAAAGTTAAAAATGAAACAGGAAATGAAAAAGTGACTGTCAAGACATTTTAACTATTTCGGCCATGGGGCTATGACTGGTCTGATTGATGCTTCCAATAGTCTGTTAGGCAGGTCTTTCACTCAGCGGCTTTTTCGGCCGAGGTTGCTCGTTCAAGAAAGCCCTCAGTTAAAAAAAAGGAAAAATATTTTTAATCAGAAAGAAGAATGAACGCGTCGATCATCGAGAATCACTGAGCTCCGTTCTAGGAAAGTTTTTTGAGCTACGTGTCAGTATGAGACTAATCAAAAAAAAAATCTACCATGACTGGTATTACTTACAAAAATAAACATTTTCACTTAACGTGATTACTTAAGTTTTTTCCTCATAGAGGATTAAAAGTTTTAAGAATTTAATCTCTTCGCACACTTCGAATGGTAAGCATTTGCTTATAGCTGCCTTTCTTCTAGGAACTTTTCGAGGATTTGCATTGAAGTCCACGAATTAATTTTTTTTTCCACTTTGTCGGAAACAAAATAACTGTATGCGCTAACCATGTAATGTCAGTCTAGTTTATACTAAAACAATAGCCTTAGAATTCTTCTTCGCCGGTGGCCTGCGAGCAAGCTCTCCATTTAGGGCATATCGTGGAAGTAACGCGCGAAAGGCACTCGAAAAGAGCCAGAGCGAGAGCGCGTTCTCGCGCAGCTCGCTTCGCCCTTCAAAAGGCCTTCGTAATGGAGAGCTTACTCATATAATCGCGCAGGCTACTTAATTCCCGTTTGATACCAATTGAGTTATATAAGATCAAGAAATCATCACGGATTTTACACTTTCACTCCTAAACGTACCCAAAGGAAAAATAAAAACAAAAAAGCTAATCTAAAATTCAGAGACTGGATCATAACAGTACCGAAGCTAAATTTCTGCAGCCTTAAGTTTCATTTGAATGGTAACACCACACGATTTCATCTGCAGATTGAGAACTAAGGAGTGACAAAATATCTCGTCTTTCATAACGAAAAATTTAGGAGTGAAACGGTTAATTACAGTTATCTCACAGGGTCAATAAAAAGATAAAGTATATCGTCCTGGCATGAGTGAAACTTTAAAAGTAAAGGTCTATCTATTATATTATAGATAAGAGTACCCCATTTTAGATATACGGCTTGTATCTCTGAACACGGACTAATATGATGAATTCGATATATTATACAGCTGCTCAAGAGTGATTGGTATGATACGCGATGAATTATGTATATCAAAATAATGTTTTTTAAGTCTAATGAGAGATTTTTTAAAGATGTTCTTCTTATCATTTCAGTTTTTTACNACTTTTCGAGGATTTGCATTGAAGTCCACGAATTAATTTTTTTTTCCACTTTGTCGGAAACAAAATAACTGTATGCGCTAACCATGTAATGTCAGTCTAGTTTATACTAAAACAATAGCCTTAGAATTCTTCTTCGCCGGTGGCCTGCGAGCAAGCTCTCCATTTAGGGCATATCGTGGAAGTAACGCGCGAAAGGCACTCGAAAAGAGCCAGAGCGAGAGCGCGTTCTCGCGCAGCTCGCTTCGCCCTTCAAAAGGCCTTCGTAATGGAGAGCTTACTCATATAATCGCGCAGGCTACTTAATTCCCGTTTGATACCAATTGAGTTATATAAGATCAAGAAATCATCACGGATTTTACACTTTCACTCCTAAACGTACCCAAAGGAAAAATAAAAACAAAAAAGCTAATCTAAAATTCAGAGACTGGATCATAACAGTACCGAAGCTAAATTTCTGCAGCCTTAAGTTTCATTTGAATGGTAACACCACACGATTTCATCTGCAGATTGAGAACTAAGGAGTGACAAAATATCTCGTCTTTCATAACGAAAAATTTAGGAGTGAAACGGTTAATTACAGTTATCTCACAGGGTCAATAAAAAGATAAAGTATATCGTCCTGGCATGAGTGAAACTTTAAAAGTAAAGGTCTATCTATTATATTATAGATAAGAGTACCCCATTTTAGATATACGGCTTGTATCTCTGAACACGGACTAATATGATGAATTCGATATATTATACAGCTGCTCAAGAGTGATTGGTATGATACGCGATGAATTATGTATATCAAAATAATGTTTTTTAAGTCTAATGAGAGATTTTTTAAAGATGTTCTTCTTATCATTTCAGTTTTTTACAATCTCTCTGTGATGCACACTTCATGGTGTCCGGGCATTAAAACTACGCCCACCTCGCCACTTAAATCTGGAAGTGGTTTTCCTATTGGAACTTCAACTTTAAACTGGTGCAAAAGCCTTGCAGCGATCAAAAAGACCTCAGTTTTGGCGAGGGATTCGCCCAAGCAGCCACGCCGACCAGCGCTGAATGGCAAGTAACTGCGAACTCCCGCTGCTGAGAATTTTCCCTGTGAGTCCAGAAAGCGTTCAGGGTTAAATACGTCCGGCTTTTCCCATTCGTCTGTGTCGTGGTGGATCGCCCAGATGTTAGTAATCAACATTGTCTCTTTCGGTACGTCGTAATCTCCCAGAGTGGTATCACATGTGGACTTGTGTGGGAGGGATAGTGGCACGATTGCTCTGATGCGGAGCACTTCCGCTATTGTGGATTCCAAATATGGCAAGTTCCCGCGATCACTCAAGCAAGGCATACGCCCACTGCCGACGACGTCATCCAACTCTGCATGGACGCGCGCTTGAACCTCTGGGTAGGTTGCCATGTAGGCCATGAGCCAACGGAGGGTGGTTGATGAAGTTTCCAAGCCTGCGTTGAAAACGTCGTTCATTGTCATGACAATGTGGTCTTCCGATAACAATTGTGTCACTTTGCTGTCTTCCTGTTCTGCCTCGTAATAAGCTTTCAGCAGGGCATCAGTCAAGTCCTGAACCTCAAAGTTATTGTTAGCATTGTCTTCTTCGAACCTCATTTTGTGTTCGCGGTATTTGGTGTCCAAGATGTCGTCTCTTATGGCTCTCGACTCGCGCAGTGTCTTCACGTCTTCCAGGGGTAAAAAGCGCAGCAGAGGGATCAGGTCCAATATGTTGTAACTTCCAAACAGTCTGATGAAGTCATCATTATACTTGACGATTCTCAGAAATTCATCATCGCCAATGTCATAGCTCTCACCGTAAACAATAGCACAGATCACATTCAATACTGCCAGCTGGATGTCCTCTTTAGGGTTGAAAGGTCTTCCCTGGTAGGAAGAGATTCTTTTCGCGAGAAGTTCCATTTCACTGCATATCAGCCCCTCCAGGCGCTTCATGCCACTTCCGTACATGCGCAGAGCAGAGTGCGCTATCTTGCGTTGGTAAATCATGGCTTGCGTGAAGTCCGCGCAGATGATATCCTTGAAACCACGTGACAAGTAACCGGAAATGTAACTTGCGGGCCTCCCCGAGAAGTCATCCTTCTTGGTAAGCAGGGCTTCTCTAGCAAGGTCAATAGAATTGACCACCACGCAACGTTGACCTCCAGGTAGGTACATAGTGTAGATCTTTCCATACTCTTTTGCCATCTCAGTCATGGCCACGTGACCAGGCTTTCCCGCCAATTGAGGTAGGTTGCCAATCAGCGGGTAGTGACGTGGGCCGGGTGGTAGGTTTAGTTTTGCCCGTCTTGGGATGACAGCGAGTAGAATGGCACCAACCACGGCGCATACAATGGCAATTTCCAGAAACATTCTTAATAAACCTGTTAAAAAAAGGATAAAAATGATCATTCATTAACTCTACACTAGCTCAAGTTAGCCTTCGAGTACAGTAAATCAGCAACTCTGCTATGGTGAGTATTGCTTAACGGAATGTGTGTGTTGATTGTCAGAGATAAAGTTTAAACCCTGCGTTTGCCGACACGTACAATAGACCTTTTGGTGATAAAGGGTATATGTTTGGGGTGGGAATAGTTAGCCTGCATGCAAGCAGACGTAGGACTACTGGCTAAGGATTAGTATTTCATCTAGAATTTGCTTCAGGATAGTTTTGGCCTGTTGCATGTAGAAGGCGGTGAGTAGCGAGGGTAGCGACCCCTGCAAAGCCGCTTCAACACGTTTTCACGTTTCAATAAAATCTCGAACGTTTACAGTCCAGGGGGCTAATTCTTATTGAAACAATAGAAAACAAACCAATAGTAACAAACCGGAAGTTTTAGCACCGGAAAAACTAAAAATTTCTGAAGAGCGATTTAAGTGATTTCATGTTATATTTAGGGGCAGCGGCTAAATCAAAAGTAACCTCGGTCAGAGAGTTCACCTCTTCCTTCTGAATTCAGGGACTCTCAATATTTTTATGAACGAATCTCTCCTATAAGGCACGGTATTCAGATTCAATCCGTGATTTTCTTCAGTCAAAATGATAAAGTTGTTACATGACAAAAATTCCAGCTGCACTTTGTGGCACGCGCCAATGTTTTGCAACTGAAATGATAAGTAATTGTATTTCGAAAAGATACTTGAGATAAATGAGATGGTTTCCTTAAATTCTACCCCGTTGTTGCTCTCTTCATTCGTTCCTGTTTTAGTCAAAATTTCAGTTCATGTAGCGTAGATCGAACCACACTTCTACTAGCTTGACCATGTGATAGTTAAGATACAGATCATAATTAGGGTGGGTCAAAGCGTGACACGCGTCAAGCAAAGAGAACCTTTGTACAACTCTCCAGATCGGCTTCGGCTCGTTGCCTAAGAGAACCCTGGGAATGAGGTTGTCTGACGGTTGCGTTATTCTTTTATTACTTTACTCATTTTTAATTTCACTGCCTCAAATAGCAATTCGTGCCAATTTGCAGGGCAAACGTTTTAAGCTTTAAATGAATGTTTGTTTTTTGTTTGTTTAATTTTACGTTAGAACGCGGCGGTCTTAGACCATTCTGATGCTTTATCTTGATTCAGTTGTTATGTAAGTTGCGTTCGTTATTGATAAATGGATTAGTAAAATAAAAATAAACGCCTGCAACATGTGAAATCGAGCTTTTTGAAAAAGTAAATTTAATGCCAGATAAAGAAGAAGTTAAGTGATTCTTTCGAGAGCTCAGACGTGTGAGTATTTGTAGATAATCCTGCCAGGAGACATGAGTAATCTCGTCTGTACGCTAAACCCCTCTCCAAAAATGGCCAAAAAAAAAAAGGAACGAAACCTCCAAATTTTATTTTGGAAAATATTGAAAACCACGAGAACCACGCAGAAACACTGCTGAAGAGGTTTCATTTGAATGGTAACAAAGGGCGCCGGTTTTATCAAAAGACTCCAAAGTTTCGCACGTTCCTTTGCCTACTGCTAAGCGGGCGTAGCCTGCTCCGGCGTTCAGAAAGTGGAGTAAGGCGCAAAGACTCGCATCTCGTTGCGTCGAACGCCTAGCTGAGAGCAATCTTACTTCTAACAACAGAAAAACGTCTCTTATTTTTGTTTGCATGTCGGGCAAAAAAGTCGGTTAAACCAACATATAAACTGAGCTAACATAAACAATTCTTTTGTTTCTAAGCTTAATCCAGACGAAAACGGTGACAGTCATGTTGAATAGATTTTCAAGCGTCTCTAGGTAAGTATTTTCATAAAGACTAAACACCCATATCGCTTGCTTATTTTCATCAGAGTACAAAAAGTCCTCGTGTAGATCACATGCAAATCCTTTCTTAGTCTGCTGCGCTCAACATGCGCATTCTCCTAACTGCTCAGCATACAATCTCTTTGGTACTGATGAGGAGAAAACGTTTCTCGATCAAGATGTTTGTGTCTTGGCGATCATCTCTTGATTCTTATAACCTTTGTTACCGTTCATAGGGGTTAAAGGGCTTAGATATATTGACTGTCTTCGTGATAAGAGGAGCGAGCTGTGCAATCTTTTTCGGACCACGGTGTTTGCCTCTCTGGCTACCCAAAAACAATATCTGTTGAGAATTGTCAGGAATAAAACGACTTGTTCCCATCTATTGGCCTCTAAAGCTGTGTCAGCCTTGTTTAGTTTTAAAGCCAAACTAGACATGTTTGGAGATAGAACGCTTTTGGTTGTGTGAGCATTATTGATAAAATTAGTCTTACGCGCAAAGACCCAGTACTGGCTCTTAGACGCAAAAACGTTAAGTCTCCGGAAATTCGACGAGACACTTGGTACTGTATGCTGTATTTAACTTAAATTTAATCAATAGCATGCTTTAATGTTAATACACCCTGCAATTTATTAATTTTTGCTGATCCCACGCAATTTAACATTCGATAGTTTATTCGCTGGGTTTTGTAAGAGCGACACATCCAACCGACCGCAGAATAAAATTGAAAACTCATCACTCCAAGCACTTCCTATATCTTTGGTAGATCGAAAGTACTTTAAAATTTGAGGGATATGTAACGCTCGCCCTCTTCCCACGAACAAAAAGAAGGGATGTCATGCGATTTAGCTTAGCCCAGTATGAGAGCACATGAGTTTGTAAAAAAAAACAAACAATGATTAGAAAAGGAAGTCAAACAGAGAGGAAAAGGAAATAATACTTGAAACAGAGGAAATCATGAAAACTTTATGTGTACTTCTTTAAGGTGCTCACTGGTAGTTGAGAGTTTAATGAGATATTGATAACCAAAAGAAAATGATAATGGCAGCCTTAGATAATTGACAAATTATACTTCGTACCAAATTAAGCTTCATACCACGCTAATTTTGTCCATTCTAAAATAGCCCAGGGTCTTTATTGAATTTATAACTGATAATCTGGTTGCTCCGCCCAAGAGCGGCACGATTAGCTATTTGCACCATGGTCAGTAGCAGACAAAATTTGCAGATATGGCTGAAAAATTAACCTAAATTAAAATGCGGTCAAATACTTTGAATAGCTTTTGATTTAGAATGATAACAAGTCTCGCTAGCTCAAAACTGAATTACTAAATGCAACCATGTATCTGGGCAAACATTTCAAAGTTAGAACGAAAAACGGGACAGCGGAAATACATGTGCGATCTGAAATTTATATGCAATTTTAAATGGATGTTGCCGGCGGTCTTAAGTTCCGCAATTACTCTAAGTTTGTTTCGCTCAATGTTCTGTCATCTGAACAAACTGAAAGGATTTTGATATGAATTAAAGATCAGTTGCCGTTTTCATTCCATTGTGTCGTAAAGAGGGGAAACTTGTTTAAAAATGTTGTTTTTTTAAGCAAGAAATAAAGATGTCTAAAATTTTCCTCTGAAGAGGGCCGGGACGCATTTGTGTTACTAAGAAATATGTTATTGATGTAAACAGTGATTCAATAGCCTCGTTGCGCGTAGTTGATAAATTTTGAGAGCTAGTGAGAATATCTAAACTTGAGCATACATAAATCAATATAGAAAGAGCCATCGACAGGTTTTCAAGACCTCACGAAATTTCTGTAGGATTAGAGAAACTCATTTTCACAGTTTTTAACGAAAGTAAATAAACAGATTCTAGTGAATCAATAAGGGCGCTTTCCACAGCTCAGAAATTTATGTGCAGCAACTTTTGCAAGAATTGAAAGTAAAATAACTTTTCAGGAGTTAAATATTTCTTAATTTTAAGCTTGAATGTGCCAAAACGGATACAATTATAATTGCCGGCTTATTGCTAAAGATAAGGTCGGTATGGTGAAGTCTTTTGAATGCTACACACAGAGTACAAAGTACAACTGTACAACCGCGGAAGGCGGGAGCCAAGGACAGAATAACCTGGAATGGGTAACTTAGTAAATTATAAAGGGTGAGAAAAAGAAAATGTTTAAATGTTACATAGAAGCCTTGCAGAAATTTTCCAACTTGTAGTGAATGTTATCGTACCTGAGTGCAGTGAAACTTAATGTTTCGTCTTTTCCAACCTTGGTGCTGAAGGGCTTGATGGACCGTCTGCTCTACAAAGCTAGAGGCTACTTACAAACAAGAACGTTTCAGGGGTACCCTTTTATACCTGATTTGCTACGTGACAGCTATCAACGTACTTTGCGTGTTTACGCGTATCGCACTTGCCATTCGCGGATAAAATTAGACATGCAACGCAGCGTGAAATTGCAAGCTGGCTGCTAGCTCCACCGCGCGCTATTGTAAGCGGTCACCCTTCGACTCACCGTCTCGCCCACGTATAAACTGCGCGCAGTGCAGCACTAAAGACTTCAAAAACGGGATCTTAAAAATAGAAGTCGGCCTGGCCATAGTATATACGTATTCTATGCTTGCAACTTCATGCTTACAAGTTGCAAAATCTCTGTGGCTATCACTCGACTTACCCACCGTGCGATGTATAAATAGTTTTGTTTAGTGCAGCGGCAATTAGTCACGTTTTTTGACTTGATATACACGCCATGATTCAAGGTCAAACAAAGCTTGTTTTATTTAGTCTGTGTTTATCCAGCGCCATGGAAATACAACTTTATTTCACTGAGCTAATATTTGTTCGCCTCCCTCGTATTACGTCTGCGAGACCGTCCCGCAAAACGTCACGAAAAAAATCGTCATCACGCATCGTCTTCGGTTATTTTTAGCCAGCTGATGAGTTTCAATGCAGATTCAATTAAGTCCAGATATAGATGAAATCAACGGCAAACTCAAATATGATTCCTCGCGGCAGAGTTCGTTCCGACGAAAAAATGAATCGCGCATTCGTAGAGCGCGAACGAACAAGTCTTCGTGATCACATTAAAAATAGCAAAGTCACGGAGGTTTTGGTCACGTTATGTTGTATTGATAATGCATTGCTTGGGGTCAAACATAATGAACATTATCCCATAAT